AATGAGTCAAAAAAGGGAAACAAATTCACTCCAAGTGAGGGCCAGGAGCAGCTATGAGTCTGCGGTCCTTGGCCATGGAGAAGTTCCTGCATCACATCTGTCAGCCTGCCCCATAGAGGGAGAGGAGACAGATGGTCCCCACCAGGCTGGCCTTGGGGGACCATTACTGCAAAGGGGATGGGAAGCAAACAAAGAAATGAGAAAGAAAAACAAAGCCATTCAGCTCTGAGAAAAACAACACTGAAAAGATTGATCCTCTGCCCAGCACCATGTTCTGAGTTCCTCAAGGTGTCTCCTTGGGGCTTTCCCATCATCACATATGGGCGTGTGCTGCAAATCCTGAGTGCCGGTAATCTGGAAAGCTTCTGGACACCCTTGGGACACTTAGGCAGCAGCACCAGCCTCTCTTCCTGCCGTGCCTCTCTCCTGCTTCCTTCTCCTCTCGGCACAGGAATTGTGAGAGCATTCAAGGTCATCTTCTGATGAGCTGCCTCCCAGCAAAACTCCAGGCAGACTAGGAGTAACATCCAATGCCAAGAGGAGGCTGCGAGCCTCCCCCTGGCCTGCTGCAGTCCCCAGGCTGCTCAATCCAGGACACTGCTGCTCAGGCTCCCCAACCACAGATGATGCTCAAGAGGGCATTCCTAGGGAGAGACAGAGCAAGGCAGGCCACTGGCTCTGGAGCAGCCTTCCTCAGCTTCTAAGAACAGTGCTGGAAAGAAGGCCCACAGCATTGTGTTCCATACTCGCTTGCCTCTGAGGACAGTGAAGAATCCCCTTTTGCCTCCACTCTGATCACCCCAGACTAACACCGTGCTCACTGAGCACTGGGGAGCGCCCACACTGAGAAAGAGGCTGGGATGCAGCAGAACTTTCACACCACAAAGGACAAAACCAAAGTTACTCCCAGTGGAGTGCCACCATGAAGAGGGCACCAGGGACAGTGGAGATTTGGTGCCCTTTGGTGGAAGCAGAGCTCCTGCAGGGCTTTCCTCAGCTTGCCCTGAGGAGGGAGAGGTGTGGCAGGTTCCCCCATGGCTGGCCTGGGTAGACCAAAGGTGATCAGAAGCAAACATGAGAGGAGAGGGAAAGGAGAGAGCAGAAGGAGAGAAAGGCAGACATGGGCAGTGCTTTCAGGCTGATCCCCTCCAGCCTTCCTTTGCAAGGGGAATCAGAGATGTGCAATCTCTGCAAAAAAAGAATGGCCAGGAGCTCCATCCTCCCTTCATTCACATGGCAGCACACAGAAAACCACATGTGCATGCACACCCAGTTACATAGGAACCCCTGCGTGTGCACACACGTTCACCCCCAGATCACACTTGCACGTAGACATAAATACAAGCTCCTGCACAAACACAGCTGTAGATGTGATCGTCTGCACACACATTTGCCCACAGACACACACACACAGAAACTGACAACACACACACACACTTGCTCAGCTGCAACAACGTGCGTGGACACAAACACACACACAGACACACACAGAAATGCCCTTGTTCCCACACACACTGGCAGACACTCACTCTCACATGTGCATTTGCAAATGCCCACACAAATGCAAACCCAGAGGCACAAATACGCCCTCAGGCACAGACAGATGTGTGTGCACATGGGAAGCACAGCCTCTCCCCACACTCGGAGAACCAGGACTCCCCCGGCAGCTCTCTGCCTCTGTGCCCCTGATAACTTCAAGCAAGACCATGTACGAGAGACAAAGTCAGAGCTCGAGACCATCCCTATTGCTGCGGTTCCAGGAGTTCCCCACTGTACAAGTCAAAATAATGCCAAAGTTTTGCAAGTTCTGGCCCGTCCCTGGTGATGGCCGTAGGACAGTTGTGGAGGTGTGGGACCAGTTCCAGCTTCAGTGCAGGGAGAGGTGCCGCCCTGACATGCTCACAGGGCAGCAACATGTTGTGTGTCTGGGGTGAGCCAGATGGCCTACGGCTGCAAATGCTGGGGCTGGGACACCAGGGAGGAAGCTGGCCTGGTGAAGAAGTTGCCCGAAGATAAATACTCTATCTTCACAGGCCAAATATTAATTAGCAGCTGGCATCCGGAGGAGATACTGCCTGGTCCAAGCCCTGGCATCTGTCAGTTAACCTGGCTCATTCAAACTCACAGAGCTGCTCTGCTGAGGTGACCATCTCCTCGTCTGCTTTTAGCACCTGTGGAGCAGTCTCCAGAGGCACAGGAGTGGTGGCAGAAGGCTGTGCCCGGCGCTGCACAGGCACCAGGAGGATGAGCCTTATGCTCTGAGACCTTCCCAGCAGGTCCCCCCCACTGTGACTTGCCTCCCTTGGAAGGAGTCCAGGTCCTGGCTTGTGCTCTGCAAGTGCAGCATCAGGAAGCAAGGTGCCAGCCAGACGGGTTTGTTAGAAATCTTCTCAGAAAGCAGCTGCGGCATTGCTTAGGCTAAATACACTGCTGCCGTTGTTAGCCACCGGGCAGCCATAAGAAATGTGTGCCATGTGTGTAAAAAGCACGCCTGTGTCAGGATTTTCCATCGCTGGCTGGTGAGCTTGAGGGATGTGTCCCTCAGAGGTCGGAGTCCAAAGGAAGGTGGATAACCTGGCATGTGGCAATGCTCCTTCCTGCAATTACATGATTACAATAATTTTCAAAAATACTCAGGACCACTTTGTGGACCCTCCAGGTGCTGCCTGGCCATGAGCTGAGATCTGGAGGACGTGCTCTCCTCAGTGCACTCACTCTGCCCATCCTTCGAGCCCTTCTCAGGCAATAGCTCATGGGCTTCGCCCAGTCCTGCTCCATTTCTGCTGCAGTGGGACCAGGCTGTGCAGCTCTATGCAAGATCTCCGTGGGAGAGCAGACCACCAGGCAGAGGTGGGCAACAGATCCTGCCAGGAGAAGAGCTGGCCTTGGGGAAAGCTACTTCATGCCTGGGGGAAGGCCAGGCACCTCTGACAATCATGAGTGCTTTGGCACTGGATGGTGTCCTTGGGGTGCCCTGTTTCATCGGAACTGTATGTGTGAGAGAGAGATGAGTGCTGTCGTGTGTCACCTGGCCAGGCTGATTTCAACGTGAACCTGTGAGTCACCTTAGCCCTGCACATCTGTGTAGCTGCTGGGGTGTGCAGGGAACTCATTGGGGGCAGGGGATGAACTGGTGCCCTTGCCCTTGGGTGCAGGCCGTGCTCTCACATTCAGAGGATGAGGAAGAGACGGTCAGGGGCTGTTTTGAAGGCTTTTCTCACACCATGTTCACTCCTGCATCCTTTGGGTCTATCTTCTGACTGAGCTTCTTTTCCCAGACCAGGGCTATCCAGAGCAGGAGGAATTACGTTCTGCACAGCCTTGTGAGCTGCTGACCTCTCAGAGCCTCTAGCAGCACTGGGCTCCTCTCTAAGGGAAAGCAGTGGTCCACCTCCCTGTTGCAGGACATGCTCTGAGGCCAAGGAATGACATCTGAACAGAGATGCTGGAACACAGGCCCTGATACCCTCTGGCTGTGGAGGAGCTGAGTATGTCTTCTTCAGCTCCAAGAGACAGTGACTGCAAGGGACCCGCTGCCCTGTGTCCCACCCGCCCCTTCCACTCCTGCTTCTGTCCCCACCTTGTCCCCCACCACGCAAGGCACTGCCTTTCTTCCTTGGTAATAGGAGACAATGTCCACCAGGAAAAGATTATGTGGAGGCAGAGGTCAGGATGCAGAAAACATTCATGAGTTTGAACTGGGAAACAAGTTCACTTGTAGACGAGGTGGCCAGAGCAGGGAGGGCACCAGCAGCTGCCAAAAGTCTGCGCCCATTGCCCACAGTTCAGATGTCACAGAGGGCCAGCAGATGCCCCGTGTTGGCTTTGTGGGTCTTATGGCCCAGGAGAACAGAAGACAAGAAAGAGATTAGTGAGATGATAAGGCAGGGAAGTTAGACTTTGGTCATGTTTTCAGAGGGTGCAGCTGACCCCTTTGGAAGGGCAGGACTGGATGCTCAGCCTCTCTGAAATCGATGGCCAGCATCTTTGTCCTCAGTCCAGCATCAGCTTCTAGGTTCCTGGGGGTCTTCGTATGGGCTCTTACCAGTGGAATTAGCAGGGGGGGGCACCTTCTGCCACTGTAGCAGCTGGAAATGCCAGAGAAGTCAGAGCACCCAGAGTTGATGGACACACCATCACAGCTGAGGATGCTGCCAACAGCAGCAGAGGTGGAGGATCCCACAACAGTGTTCTGTGGGAAGGAGCTGAGGATGGGTCTGGGCAGGGTCACCACCACGGGAGGGGGCTCAATGACGACGGTGGAGTTCTGGCACTGCCTGACACAGGGCTCATTGCAGCTGTTGGCCAGTGGGGTCGGGCCACAGGGCTGGCAGGGCTGGCATGGCCGGCACTGGTCGTAGCAGGACATCTCTCTGGTCCTGGGAGAGAGAGGCAGTGAGTCAGCAGAGCACAGGCAGATGAGGAGCATCCTACCAGGAGTCTGTCACTCCACCACAAGCATGTCAAAGGCACCTGCTGAGCCAGCAGGTAGAAACTGTACTGTGAGGCAAAGGGGTTCCCAGACACAGTACTGTAAGGATCACCCAGACCCAATGAGGCTGCTGCCGATCTTTTCAGTGAAGGACAACCTCAGCCAACTTCCAGAACTTCTTTGCAAGGCAATGCAAAGTGATGCCAGACCCAATGAGGTTGCTGCCTATCTCTTAAAAAAAGAGCTCCCTCAGCCAAGTCCAAGACACTCTCTGGGTCAGACCTTCACCCCTCTTCCCCCTCTCATGGCAAGCAGCACCACAGCCCAGCATAAGATGGAAGAGTACACATCTTCCAGGGGAGAAAAGAGGATGGAAAAAGGTCTTCAGACTCACCTGGTTCCGAAGGTCAAGGAGAAAGGAGAAGGGGATGAGAGAGCGAGAATTTGGGCTGGCTTTCATGGTGTCCCTGACCTGCCCCAGGCCCAGAGGTAGCTTCTATGGAAGCAGCAATTTTCTGAGCTGCTTATGATGAACAGAAGACATCCCAGCTAATGACATGGGATGGGAGGTTGTTTTCCCTGATGCTGCCTTTTAATTTCCTGGCTTACGCCATACACATTCCCCCCCAGAGTCTTCTTCTGAGTGCTGGGATTGAGAGGCCCCAGGATTTCTGGGGCAGCAATGTGTCATTGCCGGCAGAAGACTCAGCTCAAGTACCGGATGGGTGCAGTGTGAGCAAGTGGTTTTGGCCTGAGGGAAACTGGTGGGGTTCCCCATGGCTGCTTTGACAGGAATGGGTGCACCATCTTCCAGCCCTGCAATCCTTGGCTGATCACCCAAGGGCTTCCCTTCATGAGGACATGCCGTGTCTTCCTCTCCCTCCCAATTCACTCCAGTGGTCTCTTGTAGGGTGCAGGTGGGCTGCACTGCTGGGTTTCTCTTTTAATCTTTTACCCATGAAACTAAGCAACCTTCCCCAAGCTATGGGTATGGAGGGCTGCAACAATTATTTCCACCATTATTTCAATGCTGCTGAACATCAAATTTTGTGGGCCCTCTACCACCACCGGGATATTATGTGTGGACAGGGTAATGCTTGAAGAGAAAAATCATTTCTTGGCGTGGCACACAGCCAATCAGGGGAAGATTTATTCTTTGTAAAACACCTGCATTACCATTGTCTACAAGATGCAAAACATTTGAGGGAGGCCTCCAGTTTGCTTAAGTATTCCCTGAACTTATCCTCTTCCACCAAGGATATGTCTCTCTTCTTTCTGGACTCAAGGACGTAGGATTCCTCAGGATTGATCTTGCTTGTAAAGAATGAGGCACAGAACCGTGTTCAGCACCTCAGCCTTTCCATGGCCTGTGTTGTCAGGCTGTGCAGCATCAGAGAAGGCCCCCTCATTCAGCAGTGGGACTTCATTTTCCCCAGCCTTCCTTTTTTCACCTGTGTCCTTACAGAAGTCCTTCTTGTTGCATTCAACATTCATTCCCAGAATCAGTGCCAGATGGGCTTTGGCTTTCCTAACCTCCATCCCTGCATGCTTGGACAGTGTCCCTGTGTTCCTCCCAGGTTACTCATCCTTGCTTCTTTCTTGAGTTTTGGTTTGGCCAGGACCTCCTTGTTCGGATGAACAAGGTCTCCTGGCATGCTTTCCTGACATTCTGCTCATTGGCATGGACTGCTCTTGAGCTTGGAGGAGGTGGTGCTTGAAGATTAACCAGACTTGTTGGGCCTCTGTTGCCTCCAGGGCTTTATCCCATTGGAATTTTCCAAGCAGGTCTTTAAAGACACCTAAATCTGCTGTCCTAAAGGCCCAGGTTGTGAGCTTACTATTTACCCTCCTCACTCCTGTCAGGATCCTGCACTCCGCCATTTCACGGTCACTGCAGCCCAGGCTGCCTTTGATCTTCACATCTGCGACAAGCCCTTCCTTCTTGGTATGTATGAGGTCAAGCAGATCACCTGTCCTAACGGATCCTCGGTCACTTGTGTTATGAAGTTCTCATCCATGCACTCGAGGAACCTCCTGGCTTGCTGATGTCCTGCTGTGCTGTCCCTCCAAGCAGATATTGGCGTGGTTGAAGTTCCCCATGAAGACTAAGGCCTGTGAAGGTGAGACAGCTCCTACCTGCCTGTGGAGGGTCTCATCTGCTGTTTCTTTCTGGTCAAGTGGTCTATTGGAGACACTCTCTACAATGTCCTCTTTATCTGTCTTCTCTTTAATGCTTACGCACAAGCTCTCATTTGGCATGTCACCCATCCCCAGACTGAGCTCCATGCAATCCAGCTGCTCTCTCACAGAAAGGGCAAGTCCCCCTCCTCATCTTCTCTGCCTGTACTTCCAAAAGAGCCTGTGTCCCTCCACTGAAACATGCCAGTCAGGGGAGCCATCCCACCCTGTCCCCATGATTCCAATGTGATCATAGCCCTGCAACTGCACACAGATCTCTAACTCCTTGTGTTTATTCCCCATACTGTGTGCATTACTTTACAGGCACTTGACAGAGGCAGCCCAGCATGTTGCCTTCCTAGAAGGGGTTTTGAGGTCAGTGAACCTCCTTTGTAGTTGTAAGCCCTTAGGTGGGGCAGGAAGCCTTGCGCTTGGTGCCAGAAGTCACCAGCATCCACCCTGGGATTGTCCCCTGCAAATCTGCTTTTAGGAATCTGCAAGTGATATTCAGTTTTTAAGAACCACCTTTTAAAAGCACAGGAGCAGGCAATTCTGTAAGTAAGCTGAGTAAGTTCAGCAAGCAGGGCAGAAGATCTCATGGCACTGAAGAGGAAAAAGAAATTGTACTATCTCTGGAAGGAAGGTCAGGCTTCGCAGCAAAGTAACAGAGCTGTGGATTGCAAATGCAGGGAGAAGACAGGAAAGGGCAAAGCTCAATTAGAGCTGAAACAGGCTTATCTTGTGTCAAACAACAAGAAAGGCTTTTTTAAATGTGTTGAGAGCAAGAGGATATCTAAAGAAAACATTGGGCCAATACTTGTTGAAGGTGATCACCTGACTAATAGAGATGATGAAATACGGGAAGCATTCAATACTTTTTTTGCCTCAGTCTTTAATAATACCGAAAGACCTTGGGCTGCCTGGTCCTCTGAGTTGGCAGAGCACGAGTGCAGGAACAGTGACTTTCCATTTGTGGACATTGAATTTGTAAGGGAACAGTCATATCAGCTGATTGTTCATAAGTCCATGGGGACAGATGGGATTCATGCCAGAGTACCAAAGGACCTGGCAGATGCTACAGCAGGACCCTTCTTGGTCATCTACCAAAGGTCTTAGGAGTCTGGGGAGCTCTCTGCTGACTGGAAGCCAGCCACTGTTGTTCCAATTTACAAGAGCATAAGGGATGTCCCAGGAAACTACAGACCTGTTAGTCTAACCTCAGTCCCTGGAAAAGTTATGGGGAAGGTCATTCTGGGTGCTATTGAAAGGAATTTAAAGAACAATGCAGTCATCAGGCACAGTCAACGTGGGGTCACAAAGGGAAAGTCCTGTTGGACTAATCTGATATCCTTCTGTGATAAGGTCACCCACCCAGTGCATGAAGGGAGTGTGGTGTATATAGTTTTTTCTGGTGTTAGTAAGGCTTTTGATAGTGTCCCTGACAGCATCCTCCTGGAGAAGTTGTCCAACTGTGGGATAAGTAGCTACACAGTGCACTGGGTGAAGAACTGGATGAAAGGCAGGGCTCAAAGGGTTATAGTGAATGAGGCTACATCTGGCTGTCCAACAGTCACCACCAGTGCTCCTCAGGGCTCAATTCTAGGGCCAGTTCTGTTCCATCTTTTCATCAGTGACCTGGATGAAGGAGTTGAGTGTACCATGAGCAATTTTGCTGATGATACCAAACTGGGAGGTGCTGTTGGGTCTCTTGAGGGACAAGAGGCTTTGCAGAGGAACCTAGAGAAATGGGAGCATTGGGTAATCAGTCATTCATGGCATGATATTTAAGAAGTCCAAATGACATATTCTGCACCTGGGATGGGATAACCCCAGACACAAGTATAAATTGGGAGAGGAGTGGCTGGAGAGCAGCCCTGCAGAAAGGGTCCTGGGGGTGCTGGTTGACGGCAGGCTCAAGAGGATTCAGCAGTGTGCCCTGGCAGCCAGAGGGCAAACCACATCCTGGGGTGCCTTAACACACTCCAAGCAGCCGGTCAAGAGAAGTGATCATCCCACTGTATTTAGTGTTGGTGTGGCCTCAGCTTGAGTAGTTTGTGTACTTCTGGACCCCACAATTTATGAAGGAACTGAAGGTACCTGAATGCATCCAGAGGAGGGCAACAAAGCCTGTGAAAGGGCTGCAAGGAATGTCCTATGAGGAGTGGAGGAGGAGCTTGGGCCTTTCTTGTTTGGAGAAAAGGATTCTGAGGGGTGACCTCATTGCTCTCTGTAGCTTCCTGAGGAGGGGAAGTGGGGAGGGAGGTGCTGATCTTCCTGGGATCCAGTGACAGGACACATGGGAATGGTTCAACTGCAACAACAACAACAACAACAGCTGCAACAGGGAAGGTTCAAACTTGACGATGTCCTCAATAACATACTTTATCTTTTTTTTTAACTTGGAACTGCTTGCCAACTGACGAATGCCGACCACTTGCTGTCTGCTATCCCTGAGCATGTCCTGTGGTGTTGCAGAAAGTGGCAAGTGCTGTGTCAGGAAGTGCTCCAGGAAGATCCTTTCATGAAATTTGTGGAGGACTTAAGTTTCGCTCTTCTGCTCATTTGCAGGCCTTTTGGGTAAAGCAGGGATGGACTATGTGGAAAGAATGTATCTGGTGCCTGTAAATTAGCACAAATAATTCTGGGTGCTGCCATTACCTGGAGAAGACACGAGGTCTGATAGAGTCCTCTCTGTGGGTGCTGAAATGAGGGATATTCTCGAGACACCAAGTTTGGTGGCCTATGAGAAAGCTTAGGTCTACACAGATGCTCTTCAAAACTATTTATCCCATGATTATCAGTGCAATCAGAAAACTAGGAGAATAACTCCTGTTTTTCTAGAGGAAATCAAGGCAGAGGGGCAAAAAGCCCCTGGAGAGATCTGAGGGCTCCAGCTCTGTTGTTCAGGAAGTGCCTGATAATATGCATCCACGGTACTGGAAGAATGCACAAGTGTTCTGAGGTGAACTAGGGTAGCACAAGCACGTTTCTTCT